TTTTTTTTTTTTTTTAAAGCAATTTATTGGGTTTTACAATAGGAATAAATGTAATAAACAATATAGCATTCGTCTTAACATAATTTCACATTTTCTTTGGACTTCCTCACATCTCCCGCTCCCACCTTCATCATTATAACATTTTGTCAGCAATTTATCATCTTATTTAAATTCTTATATCTCTTCGATATTTCATAATCTTAAAGTTCTCATAAAGAGTTAAACTTTCACAATTTTTCTTGTTTCCTTAAAAATTTCTAAGTTAAGTGGTGCTCAGTTATTTAGTCCAGCATCTTATTCAGCATTCAATCAAATCACAATGTTTTTGTAGGTAGTTCTTAAATTTCTTCCAATCCTCCTCGATTCTCTCTTCTCCCAGGTCACGGATTCTGCCAGTCATTTCAGCCAGTTGCATATAGTCTATCAGTTGCATCTGCCATTCTTCCAGTGTGGGTAGATCTTGGGTTTTCCAATGTTTTGCGAGTAGTATCCTTGCTGCTGTTGTTGCATACATAAAAATGTCTGGTCCTTCTTTGCCACCCCTTGGCTGACAATACCCAAAAGGAAAGCCTCTGGTTTCTTAGTGAAAGTATATTTAAATACCTTTTTCAATTCATTATAAATCATTTCCCAGAACGCCTTCACTTTAGGGCATGTCCACCAGAGGTGAAAGAACGTTCCTTCACACTCTTTGCATTTCCAGCACTTGTTGTCAGACAGGTGGTAAATTTTTGCAAGTTTGACTGGGGTCATATACCATCTATAAATCATTTTCATTACATTTTCTTTCAAAGCATTACATGCAGTAAATTTCAATCCATTACTCCACAGCCTTTCCCAGTCCTCAAACATAATATTATACCCAATATCCTGTGCCCACCTTATCATGGCCGATTTAACCATTTCATCCTGTGTATTCCATTCCAACAGCAAGTTATACATCCTTGAAAGTATCTTAGTCTTTGGTTCTAACAATTCTGTTTCTAATTTCGATTTCTCCACCTGGAACCCTAGTTTCTTATCACTTTTAAAAACTTCTTTAATCTGAGCATAGTGTAACCAATCTCGCACTTTGTCTTTCATTTTCTCCAAGCTCTGCAATTTCCAATTGTCTCCATCTTTTCTAGTATTTCCCAATATTTTGGCCATTTGGCCTCCATATTGGGTCTTTTTCGGGCCTTAGCTTCCAAAGGTGAAAGCCACCTTGGTGTTTTATTTTCCAGCAAGTCTTTATATTTTGTCCAGACATTAAACAGTGATTTTCTAACAATATGGTTCTTAAAGGCCTTATTTGCTTTAACTTTGTCATACCATAAATATGCATGCCATCCAAAAACATTGTTAAACCCCTCCAAATCTAACACATCAGTGTCTTCAAGAAGTAGCCAGTCTTTTAGCCAGCAGAACGCTGCGGCTTCATAGTACAACTTTAAGTCTGGCAGGGCAAAGCCCCCTCTTTGTTTAGCATCGGTTAATATCTTAAACTTAATTCTGGGCTTTTTGCCCTGCCAGACAAACTTCGAAATGTCTCTCTGCCACTTCTGAAAGCACTCCATTTTGTCCAATACCTGCAGTGTTTGAAATAAAAACAACATTCTTGGCAATACATTCATCTTAATCGCAGCAATTCGGCCTAACAAAGAAAGTTTCAATTTTGACCAACTGTCTAAGTCTCTCTTAATTTCTATCCAACATTTTTCATAATTATCCTTAAATAGACTTAGATTTTTGCTGTTATGTTTACCCCTAGGTATTTTACTTTTTAACCACATTAAGTTCCGTCTCATTCTGAAACCGTTCTGACTCTGTCTCAGTCAGATTTTTCCCCAAAACCTTAGTTTTCTGTTTGTTTAATTTAAATCCCGCCACCCGACCAAAATCATTAATCAATTGTAATACTCTTTTCGTACTAGGCTCTGGCTTCTGCAAGGTCAAAACCAGGTCATCTGCAAAAGCTTTTAATTTATATTGTTTCTGACCAACCTGAATTCCTTCCACCAGCTGGTCCCCTCTAATCATGTTCAATAGCACTTCCAGGACCGAAATAAATAACAAAGGGGAAATAGGGCAACCTTGTCGTGTCCCTTTTTCAATTTTGAACTCTTCTGTAACCACATTATTAACTATCAGTTTTGCTTTCTGTTCTGAATATATCGCCTCAATCCCATTCTCAAAACCCCGTCCCACTCCCATCTCTTTTAAGTTTCCCATCATAAATTTCCAAGAAATGTTATCAAAGGCCTTCTCCGCATCTATAAAAATTAAAACAGCTTTTGTATTTATGTCAGTTTGGAGAAGTTCCAAAATATCAATAATGTTCCTTGTGTTAGCAAACAAATGTCTACCTGGGAGAAAACCGGCCTGGTCCTTATGAATTACTTCATTTAAAACTTTTTAAATCTACTTGCCAAAATATCTGCAAATATTTTGTAATCCACATTTAAAAGGGAGATGGGACGGTAGTTCTTCAGTTGTGTCTTTTCAGTTTCTGACTTTGGTATCAATGTGATAAACGCTTCCTTCCACGAATCCGGTGCCCTCTTCCCCTCCATAATTTCATTGCTAACCTCCATCAAAGGTTGTATCAAATAGTCTTTTAGTATCTTGTAATACTTGGAGGTCAGCCCGTCTGGCCCTGGAGATTTGCCAAGTTGCATGTTCTGAATAGCTTGTTCAATCTCCTGTCGTGTTATTTTAGAGTTCAGGATTGTCCTATTTTCTTGTGACAGTTTAGATAATCCATTTTTGCCAAAAATTGTTTAATCTCAACTTCGTCTTGCGGCCCTTGGGTATATAATTTTTAAAATATCTCTGGAAACACTTTCTAATGTCCACTGGATTCTGAATGTTTCTTCCATCAACCTCTAAATTTGTAACCGTGTTTAATCTTTGTCTTCTCTTCAACTGCCAGGATAGCAGTTTTCCACATTTATTCGCCGACTCAAACGTTTTTGTTTCATTAATTTGATCTTCCATTCAATTTCCTGATTTATCAATTTAGAATACTGTGTTTGATACAGTTTAATTTCTCTCAGAGTTGGCTGTGACTTTGGATTCACTCTTAATTTCTTCTCTAATTCTTTTATTTTATCCAAAATCTTGTCTTTTTTCTCATTTTGTGTTTTTTTCTTTACTACATTCTGTTGTATCAGGAATCCCCTCATAACAGCTTTGCTTGCGTCCCAGACAATTCTTTTTCCACCGAATTGTTCATATTTATCTCAAAATAATCTTTCAAAACTTTTTGGGCCTTCTTGGTAATTTCCTGATCTCTAAACAAATTGTCATTCATCTTCCATCTAAAGGATCCAGTTGGTAGTAGTGTCATGTCCATCTTTACTGCGTTGTGGTCAGAACAGGTCTTTGGGCAGATTTCCACTTTTCTAACCCTAGGTGCCAGGCCTCTAGAGATCCAAATTTGGTCGATTCTTGTCCAGGTCAGTTGGGCTTCAGAAAAGAATGTTCCTTCTCTGCCTAGTGGGTTCTTTGTTCTCCAAATGTCGATCAAGTCCATATTGTCAGTCATTTCAAAAAAAGTTTTAGGTAGTCTGCCATCTTTTGTGATGTTTTGACTTTGCGACTTGTCCATGTTAGTTGACACGACCCCGTTCATGTCTCCCATCATTATGATGTTGTTGTAATCCAGATGATCCAGCATTGTCCCCTGCAACTTCTTGTAAAATTCCGATTTCCCTTCATTAGGCGCATAGATTCCTAGTATCAGCAGTTTCTCTCCTTGATATTGTATCTCAATAGCCAAAATCCTTCCATGCTCATCTTTAAATAGAAATTTAGGTGACAGGCTCTCTTTTGCATATATCACCACTCCTCTCTTCTTCACTTTATCCGACGAAATAAATTCCTGGCCCAATCTTTTATTTATTAACACTTTTCTGTGGAGCCTCGTCACATGTGTTTCTTGTAAGCAAATAATGTCCAATTGTTCTTTTTTTAATATATGAAATATTTTCTTCCTTTTCTCCGGAATATTGCAACCATTAATATTCCAACTCAACAGTTGCAGAGACATCCTGGATCTATCAGATAGATAAAAAATCAGTCACATCCTGAAGGGGCCTTCTCTGGCAGATAAACCAGCCAGCCATGAACACACCCTTCAGGCAACATGCTCACAACAAGCCTCACAAGACACACGCTCAGACCGCTCCACCCTTGATTTTGTGGAAGGCTCTCTGCCTTTCCATCATATGATTTGTGTAAGATTCATAAACAAAAACTGAATGGGAACTAGGGAGGAAGAAGTCTATGTGAATGGTCAAATTGCAAGCGGCCACAGTGCTATTGCCTGGTGGGTTGAGTTCCCTCAATTTATTTTAGTAATTAATATCCCACTTAAATGCCAGAATGTTGTAGGTAAAGTTGCTTGCCCAGAAGCTCTGGGACGGCAAAGACTTCATTTATGGGGTTTTGGGAGTTTAAATATTCTGATCCCTGCTTCATAGTCAGCTCTGCCATCTAATCGGGGTGGGGGGTGGGAATCAAAATTAAAAAGAGAAGCAAAGATGCATTTGGCAAAACGTCTGATATTTTTATCAAGATATAATTATCCCCCATTAAAAAAAATATGGCCATATTTATATTAGTTGAGGAAAGCGTACATATTTTAATATCTGATATTTGGAAGTTGTATCTGAATTGACAGATTCTCCAGACAACATGCAGATTCTGCAACTTCAGGTTCTTAATAAAGCAAAAGGAAGAAAACTGGAAGAACTTAATAACCAGCTGGAAGAAAGAGCCCAGCAGATTAGGTATCTGTCTCATCAGCTTGCAATTGTAAAAGGTAAATCTCTTTGCCTTGGGGAAGCAGAGTTTTGGTTTGGTTTGTGAGGATTCTAGCTCCCTTAGAAATAAAATATTTTCTTCTCTGGCAGTGGTGGGGAGCCCCCTGCCCGTAGGCCAGATTAGATCCAGAAGGAATCCTGATTTGGAATTTGAGGCTGTTTCCCCCAGTTCACTCCCACTTGGGATTATTGACCAAGATCACTTGCGTTCTTGGCAGAGGTGTGTTAGAAGTTTGGGAAATAACAAAGATAAAATGCCAAAAGGACAGTAAGAGGACCAGATATGCAAGAGTTAATATTGAAGTGCCTTTTACAAATAATAAACAAGGCAGCACACTGTTGTTTTGCTATCATTTATTGTACAAACTATAGTTTGTGTGTCCATTAAATTAAAACTACACCAATCTGGACCCTAAATTTAAATTACTTCATTAGAGACAAATTGTGTGTTCATTCTTTGCATGCTGATCACTGCATTTGTATTAATGTTTACAATTGCTTGTGAGCAGGGACTGACTCTATTTCAGGGGTAGGGAACAGGATTCAACCAGTGGGCAAGATCGTTTGGTCTCCCCACTACCCATGGGCCATTTTGACAGGTAGTCCTTTTCCCCACCCCCTCAAACTTAATCTAGCGGTTTTAAATATTTTTCTTTCTTTTTTAAAAAAGATGAAAAAGATGGCATGTGTCTCAGTCTCCAGGAAAGTCAAAAACTCCATCAAAATGCCAAAGAAAGGGAAATTCAGCTTGAAGGCCAAATAAAAGCTTTAGAAACACAAATTCAGACACTAGCTGCCAACGAGGAGCAGGTACGGTAACTATTACAATTCTCATAGTTATTAAAAGATTTGCCACAGTACTGCAACATTTCAGAATTTTGTTGGTGATGTCATAAAGAAAAGAGAGCCATCACCCATATATAGTAGGACTCAACTGGATTAGGATTGTTTGGAAAGCTATTACAGATACTAAAAGGGGAATTACAGGATACAGTCTGCAACTAAATCCAATCATAAAGTTGTTAGATCATATTAAGCAGCAGATAAAGAACAATCAAAGGGTTCTTGTATCTCATTGTTGATAGCAGCTCAGATAACGTTTGGTAGCAAAATCTTGGAGAAGCAGTAATCATCCAGAAATTAATCAGTGACTAAGAAAAGTGTGTGACATCATGGTCTTGAAGAAAACTACATGCTGTAAATTGCTTTGGGAAAGAAGTATGCAAACAGTCTACATTTCCAAGCAAAACTGGCCTTTTATTACCGTATTTTTCGCTCTATAAGACGCACCAGACCATAAGACGCACCTAGTTTTTGGAGGAGGGAAACAAGAAAAAAAATATTCTGAATCTCAGAAGGCAGAACAACAAGAAGGATCGATCCCTCTTGCTGTTCTGGCTTCTGGGATAGCTGCGCAGTCTGCATTCGCTCCATAAGACGCACACACGTTTCCCCTTACTTTTTAGGAGGGAAAAGTGAGTCTTATAGAGCAAAAAATATGGTATGTATTAGCATTTAAAAAAAACTTGATTATTATGGATATTCTTAGCCAAATATAGTTGCGTAATACTTGCTTCGTAACATATGATATGGCATTCTATTTAAGAAGTTGAAGAACACTTTGTAACCAGAGAAATTATGTCACTAATTTTTTTTTTTTAAGGTGGCTAGAGAATCATTTTGAACTAACACATGTTCCTGTTTGATTTTTGTTTGTTTTTGTAGCTGATCAAACAGTCTAAAGTTGCAGAAGTTGCAATAGAAACCATGCAGCAGCAGCTCTTGGAACTTCGACGCTCTGACACCCTCCAGCGAGCAAGAGAGCAGCATGAGGCAATCGTTACAGCACTCAAACAGAAACATGAAGAACAAGCCTTGTCTTTGCAGCAGAAACTGGATGCTAGGAATATAGCATTCCAGGAGCAGGTCAGATTGAGGTTTACAATATTGAAACTATCACACAGAGGTCTTGAAAAGTTGCGATGTTCTGCTTTTTCCATCTGACAAAGATTCTAAATACCAATTCTCCATTTGAAAATACACTTGGAAGGGAAGCATACAGAATGCATGGAAACTACAAAACCACAGAGCTCAGTTGACTTCAGTGGCTTTCTCCTTTACTTTAGAAATTGAAACAGATGGTGGTAACTATCCTCACTCCTTTGACTTCCAGTCATGGACCTGCTTTGACAAGATTCTGTAATGCTGAAGATCTAATTCAGCAAATCATTCTTTAAAAATTGGGGATCACTTGACTTCAACTTGTTTATACTCCAGCTTTCTTTCCTGCCCCACCACTATTAGAAGCATAGCCTTTTTTCTTTTTAAATTGGGCTGCAGTTTCCCAGGGTCACCACCAGAGGCCCCTGGAGGAGATTGCTCTTAACGTTGATAAATGTCAATTATCTACAGTGGTGCCTCGCAAGATGAAATTAATTCGTTCCGCGAGTTTTGTCGTCTTGCGATTTTTTTCGTCTTGCAAAGCACGGTGTCGGAAAAGTTTTGGAAAAGCTTCAAAAATCACCAAAGTCTTCAAAAACCTCAAAAAAGGCTACCACACCGCGTGCTATGAGTTGCTCCTCGAAGTCAAGTCACAACTGTATTAACGGTGTTAAGAAAAAGGAAACAAACTTGCAAGACGTTTCCGTCTTGCGAAGCAAGCCCATAGGGAAAATCGTCTTGCGAAGCAGCTCAAAAAACCCTTTTGTTTTGCGAGTTTTCCGTCTTGCGAGGAATTCGTCTTGCGAGGTACCACTGTACTTAAGCTCACTCCAAAAGGAGCCATCTTTGGGACTGGTTCATACTTCCCCACCTTCATTTTTATTTACTAAAGAAGTGATTTAAAACCTTAAAGAGACTTTACCGACTGACATAACATATGAAATCTGAGAAGGGGGTGGTCTAAACTAAAAAAAAAAAAAAGCTTTAGGCACTCCTTTTAATCTTTTTCTGTTCCTGCCTCTTTCTACACCCACATGAGGAAAAAAGCCACCCTCCTGGCTGAGTGCTGGAGGTACCATTTTGAAGAATGTGGCTGAAAAGAAAGTTGATTCATCCCACAAAAAGCTCAAGAGGCAATAGCAATATAAGGGTAGTTTCATATATCAAGCCACGAGCAAGCTATCCTTGCAACAGCTCCTTTAAGAAACCACAGTTTATTGGACTAAGTTTGTGATACCTGAACCATCCCTAAAGTGTTGTTTTAATTTTTATTTTCCTTCCCCCTCCCTCCCTTTAAAAAAATAATTCACTAGTGAAGCAGATTATATGATGTATATATGCAGAGATATTTTGGAAAATATGCAAAATATGATTGGATATAATATACCATTGTGTCTGTTACCCCAAAAAGAATTTACATCTTAAAATAATAATAACAATCAGAACATGGTAATTTGGTGGTGAATTGCTAATTGAAGCAAAAATGTTAATAGCAGCCTGTCAGGGAACTGCCATCGGAAGGAAGGGAGGTGAAAGGGCTCACACAGGTTGGGAGAGACTCAGCAGCTGAAGAGGGAACCAGTAGGGGGAGAGGAGCTGAGCTGAGGGAAAGTGAGCTGGAGGGATGGCTCAGAGACACTTCCAGCGAAAACAGTGGGGAGGTTTCAGGACCTCCTGTAGGAACACCCACTCCTTGCCGAAAACTGTCACGCAGAGAGTCCAGAAGACGTGTTTCCGTTAAGGAGCTTTTATGTTGGAAGCGATTCCGAAAGCAACCACTGTCGGAATCTGCTAGTGACTAGAGGAGCCATGTCTGAGGGGCTCCGTCACAGACAGAGGTTTGTGGACTTGAACAAACTCTGAGGGGATACTATTTTACGCACAAGCAGCTCATCATCCCATCACAGCATTCCGACAGTCTTTGAAAGCAGCTTGTGCAGGAGAAGGCATCATGAGCAACCCAGCCGGAACCGGAGAAGCAGGAGCTGGAGCGGGTCCAAGCCTGGAAGAAAGGTACCGGGTGTTGGAGGTCCAGCTAGCGCTGCAGACGGCGAGGCTTGAGGAGAGGAGGGCTCAGGATGCAGACTAAAAGGGGTAAGCCACCCCTCTCGCCAGAATGGTACCATGTTTGGTGCTGAAGTTTGGTGGGTAGCCCAAAGACTATCATGGCTTTCGGACAGAGATGCAATATGCCCTCAATCTGCAGTTTGATGAATTCCCTGACGAGGAATCACGAGTGGCTTTCGTGATTGGGCATCTTGAAAAGGGGGCGAGAGACTGGGTTAGACCCCTGATGGCAGCGAATAGTGACGTCCTAAAGGACACGATGAAGTTCTTTCGCGCCATGGATCTGATGTTTTCCAGCGATATTGAACAGGGAGTGGTGCGCAGACAGTTAATGGCTTGCAAACAGGGAGCCGATCTGTCCGTGAGTACTGGACTGAGTTCACCATGCTGGTTCACAGATTGGGGTGGGACTTATCGGCGGAACCCATTCAAATGCTCTTTGAAGAAGGGCTTTCTTCGGCTGTGAAAGACGAACTTTCCCGGGCGCCCAGGGCGGAGTCTATGGACCAGCTGACCAAATCAGTGCTGACCATAGGAGCGCGCCAGGAGGCGAGAGCATTGGAGAGGCGGGAAGGGAAGGGGAACGTTGGAAGGAGTTCCGCATTCCAGACATTCCAGAGCCAACTTTCCCGCCGGCAGAGCCGATGGAAATCGGAACAGCGGCGCGCGCGCAGTTTCAAAGCCCAGTGAGGGGGAAAGAAGGAGGGAAAACGCGCCCGGAAATGCTATCTCTGCCAACAGCCAGGTCACTTTGCCAGAGTCTGCCCCCAGAGGAAGGAATGGCAAGGGATGGTAGGAGCTGTGGAGGGAAGAGAGGAAGAAATACCGGAGCAAGTAAAAGCCAACGCCTGGCTGCCACCGTCGGGGCACAGCAGCCAGGCCAAAGAGCAGTGAGAGTGCCCACGCCAGAACCTCCTAAACCCGCCCTAGTGATAGAAGTGGCGCTAGAGCTGCCAAACGGACACCCTCTAAAGATAAAGGCGCTGTTGGACTCAGGCAGCTCCTGCAATTTCATGAGCAAAGAGTTTGCAGCTGAACACCAGATACAGACGATCCCTTTAAGCAACCCCTGCAGGTGACCACGATCGATGGCAGGGAGCTGTTGGGAGGAGAAGTCAGCTTGCAGACCGTCCCAATGATAATGAAGGTGGCAAGGCACACCGAACTGATAGCGTTTAATGTGGCCACCTTGGGAGGAGCTCCCATTATATTGGGGATGAGCTGGCTAGCGTTACATGATCCGCTGGTGGGCTGGCATCAGAGAGTGGTTTCTTTTGGTTCAGCACATTGCTTAGAACACTGCAAAGAGGGAAAGGGTTTGGCAGGGGCCCAAGCCACCCTAGCAGGGACTGAAGTAACGGAGAACGTGAAGGTACCACGACAATACGCAGATCTCCGCGACGTCTTCAGCGAAAGGAAGCTGACCAACTACCCCCGCATAGACCCTTTGACTGTCAAATCAATTTACTCCCTGGGGCACAGCTCCCTGTAGGCAAGCTGTACGCCATGTCAGACAGAGAGATGCAGGAGCTAAGAGAGTTCATTGACAAGAACCTGAAGAGAGGGTTCATCAGAGAGTCCAGGGCGGTGGGGGCAGCCCAGTGTTTTTGTGGATAAAAAACACGAACAAGCCGAGGCTGGTGTGTGACTTCAGGGCCTTAAATGCAGTGTCAGAACCAGTGGCCTTCCCTATGCCCAGGATTGACGACATTTTGACAAGGGTGCGGAAGGGAAAGATTTTCACAAAGCTGGACCTAAGGGGGGCGTACAACCTGATACGAATAAGGAAGGGGATGAATGGAAAACCACTCATGTTCACCCCTTTAGGGGCATTTGAATATTTGGTTATGCCCTTCGGCCTACAAGCAGGCTCCGCATGCTTTCAATCGTTTATGAACCACGTCCTGGGGCCTTTGCTTTACAAGAATTGTGTGGCCTTTTAGACGACGTGTTGGTGTATTCTGAGAATGAGGAGCAGCATGTGAGAGACGTCAGAGAAGTGTTGAGCAGGCTGCAAGCCAACCAGCTGTGGGTGAAACTGGAGAAGTGTCAGTTTCATACCAAGGAGGTGGAATTCCTGGGGTATCGCCTGTCAGACAAGGGATTGGCCATGGATCCCGGCAAGGTCCAGGCGGTGCTGGAATGGAAAACACCCAAAACAAGGAAGGATGTGCAGAGGTTCCTAGGATTTGGGAACTTCTATCGTAAGTTCATCCGAAACTTTGCCCACCTGACGGCGCCCATTACGGACTGTCTCAGCAGTAAGAAGAAGTTCGTTTGGACTGAGGAGGCGGAGCGAGCATTTGAGGAACTAACAAGGGCCTTCGCCTCGGAACAACAACTCCTGCATGTGGATTTACAAAAACCGATGAGAGTGGAAACTGACGCATCAGACAGAGCGATTGGGGCGGTGCTTCTGCAGCCAGGGAAGGAGGAGTCAGAGTGGAGACCGTGTGCTTTTTTCGCGAAAGCTGAACAAATCCGAGAGGAACTACACGGTGTATGACCGAGAACTACTAGCCATTCATGAGGCGTTCCGGAGATGGAGGCACCTGCTAATTGGCGCACAACATAAGGTGCAAGTGTGCACTGACCACAAGAACCTAGAGTATTGGAGGACGGCACGAGTGCTCAACCAACGGCAAGTGAGATGGGCCCAGGAGTTCTCCAAATTTAACTTTGAGATTGGTTACGTGCCAGGCCCAGAGAACATTAGGGCGGACGCTCTCTCACGCAAACCTGAATATTTGGAGGGGAGGGAGCACCCGAAGAGAGACATGTCATTCCAGAGGACCGCTGGGTGTGTGGGGCGGCATTGGTGGGACAAAGAGAACTGGTAGAGGAAACAGAGAATGATGAATACGCCCAGAATAAGCTCAGAGGTCTTAGGGGTGAGGGAGAGGAACCAGGGGGTTTCG